ATCCCCCAGAGGATAAAGCACCCTGTGTCTGCTCATCTTTTATTACCAGGAAGCCTCTGTTCCTCAGTGAATTTCCTTTCCATTCATTTTCAAATGACTTTTCTGATATGAGCATTGTTGAATATGCACAAGAAAGAGAAGTTGGAGGCAGAGGGTATGTGGGGATAGATTTGCATAAGTACAAATGCAGTATATGTACCCATATTTAAATGATATACTGATAATATTGTGTTGCCATCTCACGGTGAAAGCTAATTAATTCAGCTATTGAGATGATAATGGTTTCTTTCTCAGTTAATACCAAAGTTAAAAAAAAATCCTGCAGAGTTGTTCTAGCATCCTTTCTTTGACTCATCTTGGAATGAGGAGTTTTATTCTGTTAACTATTAAGCTGTCTATCAGTATCTATGACAGTTTTTAAAGGGCTCATTCTCGGGAGGGGCTGGAGATTATTAGTAGAAAGACTGACTCATGTAGGGTAAAGTGTTCATTGAGCTCCTGCTTTGGTACTAGGAAGGAAAAATTCTCTTTTTTCTTTTTAGCTGGTTTTAAAATGCATGCTTTGCGGTTTGCACTGTCAGTATCAACACCGACAGAAACAGTCTCTTTTTCAACTTTATTTCCTTGGATATGACATTTAAGAAAATGCTAAGATCTTTCCTGCTGAAATCTATGCCTGCTGGCAAATTCACAAGCATGTCTGTGACATTAACCTTTCCATGCCTAGATTTTCCTTCAGCTCCGGTTCCGCATTTAGTTACCAGAGACTGGTTCTCCCGTCTCCTCCCCTCTATTCTGTCCTTGTGTGGTTCAGGCATTGACGACCGCTCAGCCGTGTTATGCAAAATGTGTCTCCACTCTCATTTTACTTGCTGCCAGGACCCTCCCTCTACGAAGAGTAGGTCATTGCTCCCGTGTCAGACACTTTCATGGCTTCTCTCTTGCTTTCTGCTCCCACTGTATCCCTTCACCCATCTCCTACTAATTCTCCTGTACTCTACCCTGCCACTCTTTTGGATTAAAAACCCTTCCTTGGAATCTCTGTAACACCCAACCTTTACTCGTTTCCCAGAATAACTTTCCTCCCTCATGGTCCATGCCTCAAAATCCTACTTATTTTGCAAGGCCTCTCCCATAAACTCTTCCTCATGAAGGCTTTTATGATCCTCCTTACTTAGAATTAATTAGTCACTCCCAGCCCATATAATGCCTTTCCCTAGAGACATTTGACTTTTAGGTCTTGGGAAATCATCATATTAAAAAAAAATGTTTTGTCTGCTAATAGCAAAATGTCAAAATAAATACGTAAACTTCCATGCCCGCAGTGAAATTGCTGCCCCTGCTTCTTAGATGTGGTTCCATCTATACAAACATATGGTGAAGCTCTGAAATAATCACCAGTGCTCCTACATTCCAATACCTAGCTATGCCATAATTACTTAATTAGCACTCTACCTTGTATTACGCCATGGGTATAGTTCATGCAGTAGATATACTTCCCACTAAGCCAGGAGCTCTGAAGACAGGAATATCTTATTTATTTTGGTATCTCCCAGGTCAGAGGATGCAGCTTTTAGACAGGAGGTGTTTAATATAAAGTTACTCAACTCTCTTGGTACCCAAGGGAGGCGACTGTGGTAGAAAGATTCAGAGTATTACCTTTAGAACATGATTTTCTGGTTTTGAATCCTCTTGATTCACTTGTTAACCATGTGATCATGGCCATTAACCTTCTCTTTACCTTTTCTTTTCATTTATAATATGGAGAGATATAAAATAATCTTCATCATAAAATTGGTGTGAGGCCTGAATAACTAACACGAGGTAAGGTGGTTAGAATGACAACCAGTGAATGCTTAAGACGTTAGCTATCATCCCAGCAATCTGCTGAAACAGGAAGGACTCTAAGTCTCAAGTCTCGCCTGAAGATACTGGGTACTAAATTCCATGGTGAGACAGTTTTGCAGGAATTTCACAGTGGGTCTCTCAGAATTAGTTAAATACCCCCACCCCATGTTGAGGGTATGAAGAGAGCAGCGGGGGGAAGTTAGGGAAGGGTCTTGCAGAGATTTGGGGCCCCGTGATTAGTGTGCTGTGTATCCTCCACCCCACTGCAAAGGTGCCCTCACCGTAATGTAGAGAACTTTTGTGAGGATTAGAGAAGGGTGTCCCTTCCTCAGTAAAATCTGTTGTGGTGGGTTGGCAACTGGTGGTCCATGTGTAACACCCAGCTGAACTGAGTCATGCGGTGCTGGGTGTGGAGGGCCGGCCTGAGGGTTATAGCCAACAACATAAAAAGGAGAACTGGAGGGGAAGAGGTGGCGCTCTTGGTTTTCCTGGAGAAGTTTGTTGAGCTGGCTTTCCTGATACAAACTCAGCTGTTCTCATCACTGGAGGAGCTCGGGACCTCACTGTCACTGATGATGGCTGTGGTACTTTTCAGGGGAGCTCTGGTCCTTACTTTGAGCGTTGCTTCCTGGCTCTGATGCAGATCCCTCAGCCTGCTGGCACAGATCCTTCACCCTGCTGGTGCAGACTTTTTAGCTTCCACCACTGACCTTTGGGCCTTCCCTGTACAGATCCTTGCATGAGACAATTGTTGTGGGCTCTAGACTTCCAACTGGACTCGTGGAAGACATTGCCACAGACTCTAGGTCTTCAGCTGGACTCATGCAGGGTATTGCCATGGGATCCAGGCCCTCAGCTGGATTCTTTGGGCCTCTAGTGTGTGGACAAATTTCCTGTACTCTTCTTGCATTTGACTTTTTTGAGTGAATATTATAAAATAACCCTATAAATTATGTGTCCTGTATTAATTCCTTTGCCTTGCAAACCCTGGCTGCAGCGTCTGTACTCTGAGGAATCCTGTTGCCCCAGGTCCAGTGCCAGGATCTTCAGTGGGATGACTTGAAAAGCTCAATATGTCTCTCCCTCTCTGGAAGTAGACACCAGGATTGATACACCAGGATTGATACTGACTTCCACCTGTGAAGTCAAAAGGCATGAGGAAGGATGGCTGGCTGCTTATGAGTGGGGGGGAGGGATACATCTGCCCCACAGAGTTTGCTGGACTAGAGAAACCACCACGGAGTTCTCAAGTCCATCCCAGGTGAATCACATAGAGAAACCTCAGGGTACAGAGTCTGAACCAAACTGCCCGCTTCCAAGATGGTGAAGAAGGCGATAGCAGCTATGATGGATGCATTAGTCGCTCTCCTGTCTCAGGAATAAAATATCCAACAGGCACAACCTAAAGGAGGGGAGGTTTACACTGGCTCAGCTTCAGGCCACACTCGTCTGGCTCCCAGGCAGAAATGCCTGGAGGAAGGACCTGCGGAGGAAGCTGCTCACCCCACGGCAGCCAGGAAGCTGAGCAAGGAGGAAGTGGGGATAAGAACGCATCCCTCTAGTCACACCCCCAGTGCTACCTTCAGTAGATTCCCCTTGCCCCAAATCCCCGATGAGGGTAGTGCCTCCATGACCTGATCACCTTCCCAAAATGAGGGACATTTTGATTCCAAACTGCAGTAGTGGGCTAGAATGAAAATACATTTGCTCTCATCAAGGAAGTGCAGCTGAAAGTATCTCAATGATGGGAGGAGTTCGCCAAGAACCCAACCCAAGGCAGAAAGAATCGACTTTGAGGGCTTGCTAAGGACGACCAGCTTATAACAACATACTGATTCCTCTTACCCACAGAGGACATGTTTCAAGACCCCCTGTGATGCCTGAAATATGGATAACACCAAACTTTATATATACTATATGTACACTCCTATGATACAGTTTAATTTATATTAAGTATGATAAGAGATTATCAACATGACAAATGATAAAGGAGGCCAATTTTGACAACATACGGTGATGAGTCATGTAGATATAGGTGGTAACATATACGGCGAGGGTGTGCTGGAGGAAGGGATGCTTCCCATCAAGGGCAGGATACAGCAGAACGGTGCCAGATTTCACCGCACTGCTCAGAACAGCGTGCAGCCTGACACAGATGAATTGTTTAGTTCTGGAATTTTCCATTAGTATTTTTGGACTGTGGTTAACCACAGGTAACTGAAGCCTCAGAGCAGTTAACTGTGGAGAAGGGCACAGGACTCTGTTCCAGGCGAACAAGCACGTTCCTGGCACTTCTCCCGTGTGTCCCACAATATTTTCCCAGCGCCCAGCTTTGATTCTGAAAGCGTCCATCCAGAACTTGGTTAACTAGATGGAAGAAAATGTGTAGAAGCAGGACATGGGGAAAAGGAGAGGCGGTGAGGAAGCCAGTGCCTCCTGTCCCTGAGTCTGGGCATTTTACCTATCGCAGACTGCAGCTGGGTTGCAGCTTCTCGAGGGAGCTCTTTGCTTTGAAATCAAGGTTGGCATTTTTATTATTATGCGAGGCTGGCATATTAAGCACTGAATTGAAACCCTGAATGCAATTTTCGCCCTGAATTTCATGTGAACAGCAACATGGTTTTTGAGACCCAGTTCATTGCTAATTTCCTGTGCTGACTCCATCCCAAACTGATGGTTCACCGGGCCTGCTCAGGCCAGCTCAGCCTCCCACCACAGCCCCTACGATGCCGACTTCACTTTTTTAGCTATTTGCATGACTTTTCCTTCTGCCAACTTTCAAATGCTAGCATGGCAGGGGTAAATTATTGGCCTTTACAGCTCCAACACCTCAAGCGCATGGCACATAATTGTCCCCCAGTAAGGACTGTATGAAAGTAATTTGTCTTTAAAACAAACTAATATGATTTCATAAGAAAGGCTATAATTCAAACCTGTCTATATTTGGAGAGATAAATTTAAAAAGCAGCAGCCTTCTCAACAGTACAGTGTCATTGGAAGTATCCTTTGTTCCCAGTATGTGTAAGGGTTTCCTGGGTGCCCAGAACTTCGTGAAAAAAGGTCTAGCAACTCTGAAGCCAGTATGTTATTCTGAGACATTCTGGGGACCTTTTTTTGGTTTGTTTTTATGCTTTTCAGTGTTTCTCCCACAGGTTTCTTCAGGAGAAGCATTACCAAAAACGCCATGTACAAGTGTAAAAATGGCGGCAACTGCGTGATGGACATGTACATGCGAAGGAAGTGCCAGGAGTGTCGACTAAGGAAGTGCAAAGAGATGGGGATGTTGGCTGAATGTATGTATACAGGTATTCACTTCAAGCCGTTAAATTCCACCAAAAATCTCTTAAGGAGGCGGTTGCCAGGTAATCCATATCACCAAGCTGATACATCTCATGCTACCAAAGGAACCTACCAACCTATCTAGGTTCTTGAAAAGAACACCAAAGTTGTCCAAGCTGGCAACTAAAGAGAATCTTATTCACCTGAAAGAAATGGCTGTTGTTTATTTGTTTTGTTGCAGGAATTATACATGGAGTGAAAAGACATTCAACCAGTGAAAATAATGTGCTGTAATGAGCTAAGAAGAATGGCATTCTAAGTTTCCCTAAAATTTGGTTTTAATATAATTCTTATTTATTGCTTAATTAGCATAAAAACTCACAGTTGTGGAAGAAAATAGGAATGCTGCATAATGTATAATTGCCTCTGAATTGTCTAAATAGAGTTTTAAACCAAGTCCCTTTTTAAAGAATCCGTCTTCCCTTTGTGCAGCTCTGAACCAATTTGTATAGGCTTACACAGGAAATTAACTACTCCGAGTTTTAATATAATTTCATCCTTCAATCTGATAAAGAAACACTATTAACTGCTAGCTTTGTGAGGAACCACAATCTTCATCAAAAATTGGAATGCATGTTAGTATATAACACAATTAATTTTTCATCCTGCAAATTCTACAGACAACTCAGATTCTGAGATACATCTCATTCCTCCTCAAAACACAAATAGACAAACAAATGTCACCAAGGGGACGGTAACATTCAGGGAGGGAATGCCACATGGAATAAAAGCGTGCAGAAAGTGACTCCAGTTCTATTGTTTCCAAACTATGGAGGCTCCTGGGATGGACCCAGAGAAATAATGTGTGCAGGAGAAGGAAAATAGGTCTGTGTAAATAATCCAGCTCTGAGGGGATGAAAGTTTTATGGTGGCTGATCACAATCTCATTTTAGCATACATGAAACAAGAGCCTAAATAGAGGCTGCTGGTGGAATCCAATCTTGCAATGGAAACTCCTACTTTGATACTGGGTGGTTTATGTTGCTCATCATTTAAATATGAAGTTGTTCCAGTTGAAGCTCTGAGGACAATTTAGATAGCTGAGTCCCCCTATATAAGTCTATAATGTTATTCATGAGTACAAACATTTCCAATAACAGATGTAAATCTTTCACGAATCTATAAAGTAAGTTCCCTACACAAAGAATTTCCTGGAACTTTGCTTCATTAACACTGAGGGCAAAATAAAGAAGTTAAGTGAGAGTATGAAATGTTGTGCTACATGATTTTTAAACTTCTGTTTAAGTATCAATCAAGAATGATATTATATGATCATTCAAAGATGTCCAATCACCTTGTGTTAGATTTCTATCACTTAAAAAAAAAAACCTAAGATAACTTAAGAGAAAAGGTTGATATTGGCTCACAGTTCTAGAGGGCTTAGTCCATGAGAAGTTGGACCCATTTCATTCCTTTTAGACTACTGGTAGGGATGCAGAATGTAAATAGTGGGGAATGCAACACAGAGGAAACTGCTCGGTTCATGAACAGGAAGCAAGAGAGCAAGAAGAGTTTGGGGTCTCACAGTCCCCGCTGAGGCCACACCTCCACTGACCAAGGGACCTCCCACTAGGCTCTACCTCCGGCTCCACCACCACCACCACCACCTAATAGCCAAACCCTGGAAACCAAGCCTTTAACACATTGGCTTTTGGGGGACATTCAATGTCCAAACTATAGTACTCCTTGGTTGTCTTAATCTTTGACTATATTTTCAATACTGTGTATAGTTGTAAAAATCAGCAGGATTTAAAAATTTTCCCTAAAGAATGTTAAGATTTGTTTTACTTCATAAATTTAATTTTATGTGTTTAATGTGAAGCTGAATATGCTTCTTATGGTATAGAAGAGGTGAAAGTAATATTAATGTCATGGTGGGAACACCAGGCCTCTGGGTCTCCCAGGCCATAGGAAGAGCATTCACCTTTTTATTGACTGAGCACATTGCACTTTGTATAAGGCTTTAGTAGCACGAATTCTTTATAGAAAGCCTCTTTAAAAAAAGACTTAATTACATCTCATTCATATAAAGCTCTACGAGGAAAATGTTACTTGTATTTTACAAATGAAGAAACTGGGACTCACAGAGGTTAAGCTCCATGTGCAAGGTCAAGTCTTAACCCTTGACCTTCTCTTAAACGTCTGGAGGGAGAGAATTAGTTCTGCACTGAACTGCGAAGCTTTTTGAGCCAACCATGCAGCAGCTGCTGCGGGACCACACACCCGACAGAAACTTCTGCGACTGGTGAAGGATCTATGTTTATTTTTTCAGGCTTGTTAACGGAAATTCAATGTAAATCTAAACGGCTGAGGAAAAACGTGCGGCAGCATGCGGATCAGACCATGAATGAGGACAGCGAAGGACGTGATTTGCGACAAGTGACCTCCACCACTAAGCCATGCAGGGTAATAACACGCAGTGGTGTCTGCCAAAGCCAGCAGGAGCGAGCTTCTCAGGGCCTGGTGATATGGCTGGGAGAATTCCCATTTAGGTTCTGAATTAAAATGGATTTCTTCTTTTAAAATGGTTAAATTTCTATTAGTACATGTTTGCAGTACATAATGACACCCATGGTGGGGACTAGTACCCTACATAACACATTTTCATTCTTTTTTATCCATCCCCTTCCCTCTCCCCTTCCCTTCTCCCTCCATCTCTTGCTCCTCTCCTCTGTTAAGAAAGACCTCCCTCCCTGCTTCCTATTCTGTCTTTTATTTTGTTCTTTAACTTATTCATACTATGGGTTTCTCATAGCTTAAATATAGCTTGTGCGTCTGAATCATTTCACTTAACATTATAGAGTCTTAAGGTACATCCATTTTCCTACAAATGACTCAGATTTATACTTCTGTATGGCCAAGTGGTACTCCACTGTGTTTATTATTATTACTATTATTTTTTGTCTTTTTGAGACAGGATCTTGCTATGCAGTTCAGGCTGGCCTTGAGCTCACTTTGTAGCTGAGGCTGGTCTCAAAGTCACGATCCTCCTGCCTCAGCCTCCCAAGTGCTGGGATTACAGGCATGTGCCACCATGCCCAGCTCCGCTGTGTTTAAATACCACATTTTCTTCTACTCAGGACAGAAATTCATGCTTTGATATAAACCTTCAAATTATAGGCAAAAACAAAAGTTCTTCTTCTCCTGGTTCCATTTAACTCCTACTACAAAGAGACTGCCAGTGGGAATGATTCTGTGACAGCATATGGTGGAGTTTTGCAACAGAGTTGAGTGACCATTGTTTCCCTGAGAAGGGAGGTTCAAACTTGACAGGTGTGGCTTCAGCAGAGCTGTGGATTAGGTCTTACCTATGGGTAAAACAGGGCAAGTACACATCTGTGGCCAATAGAGAAAAGCCCTTCCCTGTGAGCCACAATTTCTAAAGAAATTCTTGGAGCAACTTAGGGCAAAATAGGGACACAGCAATCGAGATGATTGGGCAAACATGCTGTGTGATAATGCACAGGGCATTTGGAAGAGTTCTAATTTGCCATTAGCCAAAATACCAACAAGCCACAATTGTCTGAGCTACACCCTTCTCAGTGTCATTACACTTTTGTCAAAGAGAACTTCATCCATTTTTAGTTTCTTAGAAAAAATAATACTGCAGAAAAGTATTTGCTATAGTGCTGCCTCAGGAACCGTTTGGTAGAAGAAAAGAGCTGACCGAGTTATTCACACGCCTCAAAACAATGCTGCCAAGAGGGAAAGAGATATTTGGGGTGTGGACTGGGCAGATTGAGCACTCTATATTTTGGGAGACAGGAAACAATTCTTCTGTGAAGTTCCAGGTGTTTAGGCTCTGGTCACGTGCCCTCTATCACACCTAGTTAGTTCAGCCACAATGCAAAGATAGACAAAGGAGCACAGCCATGTTCCAGTGGGGTTTTATTTACAATCCCAGGTGGATTTGGTCCATGGACCACAGTTTGTGAATCTCTTCATATAGAACAAATTCCCTTGGGTGGAGCCTCCATTTCACATGTGGAAACCTTTCCTTTGTTGCTGTTAAACCATCAGCTTTCACCAACCCTTGCTATCAAAGGGCTCAGTAAGCTTCACACCCTCGCTATTGCTTGTTCCCAAGAAATACATGAAAGGAGTATTTTGTCATCATAGATAGGGAGATAAGCAGCTTGAAATGAATTTAATAAAATATGGTATTTTTCCCATAACCCTAAGAGAGCGATTATATATACTGTATTAGAGCTCACAGCTCCTGCTTGTGTCCAGGCCTTTTGAAACACAAAGCACTATGCTATTTGCTAGTCCAGAGGAAGTGCTCCTATAACCATCCCCCCTAACACTTTTTATTTTCTTGCCAGTGTAGGAGAAAACTGAACTCACCTCAGATCAACAGAATCTTCTACATTATATTATGGATTCATATAACAAACAGAGGATGCCTCAAGAAATAACAAATAAATTTGTATGTATAACATCTAAAATGCATTTGCTTAAAATTAACATTTTTCTGGAGCTTTTACTATCTTTTTTTAACTTAAGTTATTTTATTTTAAAGATAATAAAAAGATACAGAATTTAAAACCAAGATGATATGAAATTAACAATGGTTATTGTATTGCATATTGTTATTTTCAAAGTAGTTGCTAAGATTACCAGATATAGACATGTAAGACTGATCAAACAGTATGAACACTAACTGTTCCTTTCAATGAACTAATAGAAATTAGTAGTACAATTATCTTAGCTACCATATGTATATATATCATACCTTCCTTCTTTTCTCCTTTCCCCCATCCCAGTTCTTTCCTTTTGAGCAGTTTCTTTACCTTGCATAATATCTATTGTAACTTTTGTATCTTATTTACTCTTTTAGTTTCTTACACTAGGAAGACAATACAATGTTTATACATGCAGGTCTGATTTATTTCACTTATGAGTATGGTCTCTAGTTGCATCCACCTACCTATAAAAGCCTCAAGTTTATCTTTCTTTATAGCTGAGTAATACACCATTGTACAAAAATACCACATGTTTTTTATCCATTCCTCAGTTGATGAACATTTGGGTTGTTTCCAAGATTTAGCTATCAGAAATTGTGCTGCTATAAACATGGGCGCACATATATCACTGTGGTATGATTTTTTAAATTCTTCTGGGAAAATACCCAGAAGGGGAATAGTTGGGTTGAATGGCACCTCTAATCTTAGTTTTTCGAGGAATATTCACACTGATTTCCACAGTGATTGTACCAGTTTACACTCCCACCAACAGTGGAGAAGGGTTCCTTTTCCCCCACAGCCCCAAGAGCATTTGTTATTGGTTGATTTTTTGATGATTCTTTCTGGGGTGAGATAGAATCTCAGTGTTGTTTTAATTTACACTTCTTGGATGACCAATGATGTTGAACATTTTTTCATATATTTATTTGCCATTTGTATTTCTTCATCTGAGTAGTGTGTGTGTATTCATCTCAGATGCCCATTTTTGGACCGGGCCTTTGAATTTGGGGGTCTGATGAAATTTGTATAAAAATATGTCATTTAAAATAGTTAGATCTGGGGCTGGGGATTTAGCTCAGCGGCAAAGTGCCTGCCTGGCAAGCGCAAGGCCATGAGTTCAGTTCCCGGTACTGGAGAAAAACAAAACAAAACAAAACAAAACAAAAATAGTTAGATCTGAAAATTTAAATTATGTGTTTAAACTTTAACAGTGTGAAACTATTAAGGAAGAAGATGTCTCACATCCATCTTGTTAATCATAATTGCTCTCCAAAGATCTGAGAAATGTGAGCTTAGTCTCCATATTTATTATTTCAATCTGGTTTTTCTTTAGTCTAATGATCTTGTATTGATTTATACTTCTCTTATCTACATATTAATCATTTTTTTCTTAAACTTTAGTTAAAAGAAGAATTCAGTGCTGAAGAAAATTTCCTCATTTTAACAGAAATGGCTACCAGTCATGTACAGATTCTTGTAGAATTCACAAAAAAGCTGCCAGGTACTTTTAAATTTAAAAAGTTTATACTTATTGATTGTGTAAATATGTGACACAGATTACATTAACCATTTTATATGTAATGCTTTATTTAATTCCCAAAACATTCCTGTGTGATCAGATCTATTATAACTATTATTATTAATATGTAGATCTTTCTCTGTTACACAGTATAATATTCTTGTGATACTGGGAGAGTCAGGTCTCATTGTAAAATGGAATCATCTCACATCTGATGTAACATGCCTAACTACTATAGACATGAAAAGCTAGAGCCAGAAAGCATATTTAAAATTACTTACAATAATTCTTCCAAATCAATAGATAAAACTTGGAACTTTGTGAGGTTGTTATTCATCTGTTTATTCACTCCATAAGTAGTTGCTGATACGTACTCTAAACTGCAAGCTTAGCTATTACCTTCATTGGGAGTAGTTAAAGCCTATTATATTTGTGATAGACACAGACGCAGAAACTCATTGCTGTTTGAACAGAGAGGAATTAGCTGCTGATTGTTGCTGAGAAATACAGGAAGCCTTCGGAGATGCTTATATTTGAGCGGAGAAGATACAAGAGTTTTCCAATTGGTACAGAGGAGAATGGTATTCCAGTGGAAAGGGCTGCTTGTGGAAAAGTAATGAGGCATGAACAAAAATGGGATTATTAGAAATTCGAGAGGAATTGAGTGTGGCTGTCTGCAATGTCTGGGGTGGGCTCCTTGGTTAGACACTAAAGTTAATTAGGGATAACTAAGGAATTGTTCCTAGGTGATAGAGATTTCAGTGACATTTACTTTTGAGGAGAGGGAAATGATGAAATTTTTGTTACAGAGATATACCTTTACCTTACTGGTATAAGATGGTTGTGAATGGGAGGCAGGATCAGGTAGTATGCTACTGAATAAACCCAGAGAAGAGGGCTTAGAATAAAGCCATAGTAGTGGGAGAGAAAAAGAAATACAATGAAGTTGGAGTAAAAACTTGATGGAACTTTGTAAACAATTGTATGTGTGAGGTAAAGTAAAGAGATTTTTTCAGGGGCTGGGAATTTAGCTCAGCGGCAAAAGCGCCTGCCTGGCATGTGCAAGGTCATGAGTTCGGTTCCCGGTACCGGAGAAAAATAAAAAAAAAGAGATTTTTTCAGTTATTCTGACGGTGCCAGTACAGAAACTGGAAGGCAGGAGTCTTATCCCCAGACTCAGATTCCTTCTGTCGTTATTTGAGCTCATCAGTTTAAATTGTTTCAGTGTTAAAAAAATCATTACATCAGAGTCTCATGGTTTAAAAAATTATAATAGATACTTTGTATGTCCCTGTAACATTGTAATGTTAAATTACAGAAGGTAACTTCTGGTTTTAATTAGACATGTTAATCTTCCTTCTTTTGCCAGCATTATGCTATCATTTTATTAAATGTGTTACAGATAGACACAAACTTATATAAAACTCATACAGTGTGGGGAGAAAGTTCTCGTTATCATGAACATTAATAATTTTTCATTCTTTATTAAAAGTGGAAGAGAAACTTAATTTGTTATATGCTAATTAAGGTGAGGACAATCTTGATTAGAAAGACGGGATTACAGAACAGTCAAAGGAGAAGAACTGAGAAAGTAAAAGTGTGACTTTTTTGTTATTAATGGGGAAAGATTTATTCAGTTCAAATGGTCAGCGGTTATAACCAAGAAATAATTGTAGATGAAAAAAATCTCATTCATGAGAAGGTAGTTCATCTGAAAGCAGGGGCAGCGTCTTTAAATCTCTCCACGCCCAGAGCCTGACCTCCTTTGAGCGAGGGTACAGTTTATGTTCAAGAAAAAAAATTAAAAGAATACAGAAGAAGATAAAAGCAAAAAACCCTCAGAAAAGGAAAAATAACAATAATTATTTAAATTGCATTATTATAAATAGTAATACTAGCTATATACCAACATTGAAAGGGTATTTTGTGAAAATAGTAGACTCCCTCAGGTCAGTTCGTGCGGCAGACCCCATACTAGGCACCAGGCACTGTCCAGGGTGCTGGAGGCCCAGGTGGAGGGAGGCGTGGCTCCGGCTCCGCCATAGCACTTGAGTTCTCCAGGAGAGTGGCTCTTCACCCTCAGCACTGCTCTTGTCTTTAAATTCCCATTGTCGTATAATCCTTTCCTAAGTCATTTAGGCCCTGATGGGATTATTTATACCTATTAATGTGTGGGTGTATGGGTACCAGGATGCATACGTTTGTGTTTTGTTCCCCGTTCATTCACCCATTCACTGAATTATCTAACAAAGAATTCTGGGATGCCTGTCATGTGCCAGTCACGGGTCATACAAAAGTAAATAAAACAAAGTCTCTGCCGCGAGAAGTTTAAACTTCAACAGAGGTGGCAATAAACAAATAAGCAAATACATACGCGTCCCATATTCTGTCAGATAGGGGTAAATTCTATGAACGAGAAGAAAGCAGGTATTAGGGTTGGGAACAAGTGCGTGCCGGGGACACGGCTTTAGGTAGGTGACCCTGGAGCAGGGGTGAGGGGGCTTCAGGGGCGGGGCACGGAGGGATCTGGAAAGAGCACTCCTCCCTGAGTAAACGCCGGCTGCAGGCTCACGGCAGAGCTGGGGCGTCAGTGTGGCTGGGCACGAAGAGTGAGGTGAGGGAGAGGAAGGTCAGATACCGCAAAGGCTGGGCTGAGAACTTTCGTTTTCCAGTGGCGTCCTATTCTTTCAAGCCGGCAATTCTTTCCCATGGTTTTCTGGTTTTGCCCATCTTGGACGGCACTGTTCTGAGCTCAGAGAAGATCTCCCCATCTGGCTCTGATAGATTTTGCAGGGTAGAGTGTGGAGGGTTCCACTCATCCTTCAATTTTGACTGAAGGCTCAGGAGTCAGCCAAATATTCTAGGTGCACATAACGTGTTTTTTCTAGCTGTGGGTAGTTCTGTTCTTCAGAGTTGACCCTGCCCACCGGGTGTGACTAGCGTAATGACCCCAAAAGAATCGGCTTGCCTCCTTTTTTTGGAGGGTTGCTTCATCTGAACCAGTCCATCTCTGCCATAGCATGTGTATTTGGGGTGGTGTTGACATGTGCTTTTGTTTCACCTGTTTAATAAATTCTGCTCAGTGAAGATAAAAGTTAGCTTCTCTTTTGTGGACTGTAACTCTCAGCGACTTCATTTAAATCCCCTACCATAAAACAATTACAAAATCACTTTATAGAAGTGTTTTATCCAGGTGCTGAGGGTGACGACGAAATCTTCTTAGATGTACTTAATGTTATACATAAAAAGTACAAATATTGTCCCCAAACCACTCCTCGATACTGATCCGATTATTGTCTTTACTCAGGATTTCAGACTTTGGACCACGAAGATCAGATTGCTTTGCTGAAAGGATCTGCTGTTGAAGCTATGTTCCTCCGTTCAGCTGAGATTTTCAGTAAGAAACTTCCAGCGGGGCATGTCGACCTACTGGAAGAGAGAATTCGAAAAAGTGGTAAGTGATCTGGCTAATGGCAGAAGAGTTTGTTGCTGTGAGTAAAAATGGGTTCACCCCCAAGGGCAGGCTCTTATTTTTCTTGTGTGACATTACATGCCTGTTGCAGCTGGTAAGGAAGATGATTCTAAAAGATATGTGATGCACGTGGGACTTTTGGAAACTTGAAATAGTGAAATACAAGCATACTTTCTTCACTGCACTAAGATGAAAGGTCAAAGGAAGATTTCTGTAAACACTGATTAGTCTGATTTTTGCACAAAAAACTGGAATCATTTAGTCCAGAAAAAGAGTCACTTATTCAAAATCTTCAGGTATAAAATATTATGTGCCCAGCTGTTGTCCATCTTTATTCAAAATAAAATAAGAATCAATTATAATAACAACATATATTACATATGCACATATATACACACCCAGCTTCTGGTTGCTGTTCTAAATATACTACATATATGGTTTTATCAAATCCCTGTACAAATTGTACTAAATAAGTGCTGCTACTGTTGCATTTTATGGATGAGGAAAGTGAGAGATTAAACAACTTAAGTCAGAGAGGAAGACTGACAGCAAAAGCCAGGTGTAATTTTTCTGGCAGGGGCTGGTGCTGGGAATTGAACCCAGGACCTCTTGCATGCTGGGCAAGTGCTCCACCAATGAACTATATCCTCAGCCAGAAGCTTTGGGTGCTATCTGTGATACTCTATAGTACTGCTCAAGAGATGACATGAGGGCTGGAGATGTAGCTCAGTGGCACAGCACCTGCCTGGCAAGTGCAAGATCCTGAGTTTGATTCCCAGTACAAAAGAAACACCTGTAAGCTCCTAAAGAGATGACATGAAAGGGTAAGTAACTCACTCTAACTTATGGAGTCATGCTTTGACAGAGAGGGGTAAGAGACTTTGAGACTGATTTCTAGGAATCCTGTGCAATTTATCTGAAGAAGATCCTTAACACAAGACCAGTTCTTATTTTTCTGAGAGATTTTGTATGTGGATTGTGGAATGCAAAGGAGTGAGAGGTGAAGACTTCTCAAGAGCTTATCATTCTGCATCAACTGGAACAAGTGTCAAGACCTTTAGGGCCAGGATTTTATAGAGGAGATCCAAAGGAAAGCATTCAGGCAGTGCTGCATTTGGATATGAGGAACATAATTTGAAAATTGAAAATTACTTTTAAACACTGTCTTCCCATGGTAAGCATTTTCTGTTCCTCATTAAAACCTGGAAGTTATTTTTAAGGATCCCTGTTTCATATTTTTAAATAATTCCCAAATCTGGAAGTATAATTAGCATCCCTGGCAGAGTCTAGAGAGGTACTATTCTTAGATCTTCATGGATGTGCTAGTTCTGTGAGTATTTGAGGGCAGGGACTCTGGTGGCAGGGACAAGGAGACTCAAGCATTGTCCCCTATCTGATGCCCACCATCTAGAGGAAAGAGATCTTCTGTACACAGTCAGAATAAAATGTGGAGAAGAGCTGAGAGAGATGACTTCTGGTTGGGAAGCTTTCTAGTCTAGCAGGGTCTTGTCAGTGTTTGAGCTGAGGCTCCCACGAGGTTTGGTTTGGGTATCCGGGGTGAAGTGCAGGAAGGAAGGGCCAAGGGGACCTTGGAGCAGAAGCAAGAAGCACAAGCCATGTGCGGGAAGAACAGAGTGATGGAGTTGAGTTGATAAAAGGTTACGTTAAAAGAAGTCCAAAGGAGGGGACTAAGGATGGGCTGAGCTAAGGATTTTGAATGTTGCAGTAAAGATTTTGTTATTTTCTAAGTAATGTGGAGACCAGATTTTTGAATGTAGGGTGGAAAACCCTAATTCACATGAGTCCTCCTGTAATGCTAGGATGAGCCCGATGGGAGGGCTCTATAAGCAGCCAAGGAGTTTGAAAGACCTTGGATGCTGGGGAAAAGCGGGAGGGAAGAGGAAGGATCTGAGGGGTACATTGCCTCTGTTTTTCATTCTTTGGAAGACATTGTGTTGTTAAGAAATACAGATTCTCTTCCATATTTCTTAGCTATAGATTAAGACCCAGAAAAGGGAAGGAATGCAATCTGCTAGCTTTTATCTGCCAGATAAATGCCAGGTGGTAGATTTTTATCACCTACCTTTTAATCACCTACTTTAAACTCGTGTGTGTGTGTGTGTGTGTGTGTGTGTGTGTGTGTGTGTATGTGTGTGCGCATGCATGTGTGTGGTCAGACTAAGCGAGAAAGACTGAATCCGGTAACCTCTAATGGACCATTTAGTTCTACAAGTCTTACTGCTTTTCTCCTCCTAAGTAATTTGAGTTTTCTGATGGGTTGTTTGGCCAACATGTAAATATTCTGATTTCAAAACTGTAACATCACTACTGACAGTTCAACTTAGGAAAAAGCTAGTGGGTACAAGCTGAATTTTCACAAGTGTGAATTTAACGTTTGAGGCCCTTGACTGTGAGTGGGTGGCTTCTTTCGTATATAACATTTGTGGCCTGAAGCAATGATGGATAAAGCCTCACTTGCTTAATTAACTTAGTCATTTATTTGGTTCTGGCTTCTGTAAACTGTGGCAGCATTCCTAAAAGAAACCCACGAATCAGATCTAATGCATAAAATAAAACAAAACGGGATGATGATCCATGAGGAAATATAGTATTCATTTTACAGATAGGTCTCTAGCTCTCAAGGGAGCCTACTGTAATTAAGGTGTATGTTTGGTTCCGGGAGAAGCTTGAAGTTAAGAATCCTGACTGTGGGATGTGCCTTGAATGTAGGGTCCACTATTGATTAGCTGTGTGTCCCTACCCCACCCCTTTTTATGAAGAAAGCTATTGAAATGGGGGTTCTGTAAACATTTGGTCTCTTTGAAATCGTGTCTAACTTTAATATTTGCTCTGCAGTCCTGTCTGGATTTTGATATTAAAAATTTCATAAGCAACATGTGCCTCATGTATCAGCTGCCTGCTTGGGGCAGGGACTCAACAAATCTCTATGGAATGAATGAATGCATGCATGCATGCATAAATGAGCAGCGGCATGCCTATAGCTACTGGTCCATTTTTCTGTTCCATGGGTTCTTCTGCTAAGTATCAGAGTTATGGGTGTCCCAGACTGACAACTAACCCACAGTCTTTTTTCTAGAACCTGCCTGTAGTAATTACCTGTGGGGATAGGAATGCACTTTGCATCTCAGTGTAGGCCAATGACTAAGACAGTATAGGTACAGGAGCTCCACTGGGCTCCTTCCCCTTCCCCTCCCTCCTTGCCCCTCCTTTCCCCCCATTCTCCTCCTCCAGGATGAGTCATTTAAAGTTGATTCAGGTGCCAGATAATGAAAAAAACAATTTAACATGAATTCAAATGTTTTGATGAGAAGACATCTGAAGGATGTCTCCCTCTCCCCTCCCTCTCCCCTCCCTCTCCCCTCCCTCTCCCCTCCCTCTCTCTCTCCCCCTCCATCTCCATTTCCATCGCTGTCTCTTTCTCTTCCTCTCATTCTATCTCCTGGATGTTCAGCTCTCACTGTCCTCCTTTGCCTGGTTCGTCAGACCTCCTGGGTCCAGAGCCAGGTCAGTGTTATGATGACCCCTGGGCAGGACTGAGTCCCTTTCCTAACTTGGCTAAGGTGGGGAAAATCTCTTCCCCTAAGGCTCAGCAAAAATAATTTTACTGGGCTACTAAGAGGAACAGTACAAGTGCTTATAAAAGATATACATGCATGATTCATGGATGTTTTAATTATTGTATCAAAAATTTAGCACCTACTATATGTCAGGGTTTACTCTAAGTGTGGGAGCTTTGGGTCTTCCAAGAAGTAGATACTAAGAAAAGAGGAAACGCGCAGGAAACTGAGTGAGGGATGCACCTCTGAGTAGTAAACGGGAGGAAGTAGGTGTGGACAAGTAGGTGTGTACACTGCCACGCTGGCCTGACCCCCGCAAGGGTAGGATCTGCAGGGGGAGACTCAGACACAGCCCAGTTCTCAGGGAGCCTAAGCTGGGCTGATGGACGGAGGGGGCGGGGGCAGTTTGAGATGCTCATGGGATAGACCTACACCAGCACACCCACTGGGCCCAGTCCCCGGCTGCAGAAGACTGGGAGGGTCCTCAGCCTTCACGCGGCAGTGGTGGAGACGATCAGTCCATCCGTGTGCCCACTGCGAGCTCTCTTAAAGGGAGCTCTGCCTGGACATCTGCACGGCCAACACCATGCAGACTTTGCAGAAACATCTATGCATTCTTCACAGCACTTGGAGGTAGATATTGTGAGTCCCACACTAGACCTAGACCATGTTAATATCAGCAGCTTCTCTTCTCCAAAATATCAGTCCCAAGCACCCCCCATCTCACACTCCCTCTAACTCTCCAGCTCCACCGCTGCTAGCACTCTGACTCCAGGGATTCTCCCTGGACAGGCACCCAGACAAGCTGCATTCACTGACCTTCCATCCACTTACCTCCACACTGACTTCACAGCTTTCCACCTGGCCTCACCCACGTCAGTACTCGGCTCACGGTTTATGGTCCTTCAACATGATCCCTCCCTTGGAACACTCACAGAGCATCATCCAGTTCTTGTTTTATCATCTTTTTAAGACAATCCTTTCTGTCCCTGAATACAGCTCTCTCCCTGTTCTGCTTGAGCCTGAGAACTGAAACAACAGGCTTGACTTACCTTGTGTTACTGACCACACACTTCGCCAGGACCTCCCTACCATCAGCCCAGCCCCCGTCCCCAGCCAGCTCACAGTCCTAGAGGAAACCGCCCTTGTACCATTCCTCTCTTCAAACTCCCACCAGTCCATCCCCATCATTCTCACTGGGGAAAAGTAGGTCTTATGAACGTGCCACAGGAGTTGAAGCTTAGTGAAATGCGGTGAAACCTAGAGGAAGCAGAACTCCCCAAGTTTGGTCAGTAAGTGAAATGGAGATCACCACAAAAAACAACTGGAGCTAAGTCCCTAACATATAATGCAGAGCTCTCCAGGGTTTCTGAGTCCGGATTAAGGCTGAGCCTGCTGGGGCAA